TTACTGCCTCATAGATTGACTATTAGTAAATTAAAATGTGTTTTTAAAGTTATTTTCATTATTAATAAAACAAAACTGTCAAATTTGATCATTTTTAGAGTCCCTACCTCCTCGGAAGAGTCTATAATTTCTGACTCCATAACTAATGTTAGGACAATTTAATTCATTTAAAATATTTTTTCTTTATTGATGTTAGAGAGAGAGGAAGGGAACAGGAGAGAGAGATAGAAACATTAATGAGAGAGAACATCAATTAACTGCCTCCTGCATGCCCCCACTGGGGATTGGACTCATAACCTGGGCATGTGCCCTGACTGGGAATGGAACTGGCGACCTCTTGGTGCATGGTTTGACACTCAACCACTGAGCCACACTGGCCAGGCAATTTTAATTCACTTTTAATGTGAGAAATGAACATCTAATGGAAAAGTTTATATCTGGGTAAACAATATGAAATGAAAGAGAAAAACATAAAGTTTGGAATTTCTACCTATAGAGGCATTTGGTATTTTTGTGCCACTATTTCAATATAGGCTTTTGATTTTATCATCTTTCCCCAAATTAATTAAAATTATATATATATATATGTGCATATATATGACTTTTCCTAATTTGTAACCAACAAATAAGGACTATAATGGAATGAAAATATCTGATATCCTTCTAACTGCCCCACACTTTGTCCCCCAACCTTATAAGTATTACCTCTTTTTATTTCAAAGAGAATATCTCATTTTGTGGTTGACCATTCACTATGAATAATTACATCATGATATTTACATTATCCCAAGTTTTCTTTGGGAGAAAAATAGAAGCATTTTCAAACAGCTATAAGTGTTAGTACACTAAATGGTATACGACCCAAATCAAATGGCATAGTGAAATAAAACTGTAGATGCACAACTATAAGCACAGGCTTACTTTTAATTATTTACAAATCTTGTAAAGTAACTAAACACAGTGACATTTTTTTTCCAGTGAATTATGAAGCTTCTAAATCAATTGCTCCCTTATGTCCCTAAGTGGTGTCATGTGTTTGTTGGCGAGTTAATGGTTTCAGAAAAAGGGGTGGTATCAATCCAAATAAAATAATAAGCTGAGATTTAGCTACAACTCTTGTGATATGGTCTAGTTCAGTGTTTCTCAAAATGTAATATGCCTCTTAAGATATAGCTCAAATGCAGAATCTGTTTCAAAAGGTGGGATTGGGCACTGAAATTCGGCTTTCTGGCAAGTTCCCAGAAGACCGCGATGCTGCTTGTCAGGGACCTTCTGAAAAGCTAGGGCAAATCAACATCAACATTCCCCACATTTTATTTCACCTAACTCTGAGATTTTATAGAACAGGATTAAATTACCAAAAGTGGCTCACTCTCTCCTCTCTTGGATTTGTGATAAACATTGGCATGAAAAAATAACGTACTGTGAAACAAACTTGACTTTTTGTTGTGGTAGGAAAAAACCCCAAATATGAAATCTAACCTCTTAAATTTTTAAGTGTTCAGTACAGTATCAGTTATAAGCACAATGGTGTATGGTGATCGCTAAAACCTTTCATGCTGCATAACTGGAGCTAATGCATTGATCAGCCACTCCTCTCTTCTGCTATGGCTTTGACTACTGCAGACACCTCAGACAGGTAGAGTCCAAGGCCATTTCACTATAGAACACTACAGAACTTTCAGAACACTCAAGGCATATATATGTAATGAGCATATGTAAGAATACTTTATTTATTGAAAGAAGCCGAATTCCCACCCATTCTGCCATCAGTGGTTGAATAGTTTGGGTTGGCATAGTCATGATTACCAAGCTGGTGGTAATACAAAAGAGTAAATATTTGTGAGATGTAAAAATAAAATTTTAAATGAAAATAAATATTTTGAAATTATACACATCATAGTATGGAGGAAAGGAAAACAGACGTTATAGTCCGATGGACATTAATTTGATTCCCAATTTTGTTTCTTAACACAAGTTACTCTATTCAGCCAAAGTAATATATTTCCTTTTTCTCAATTTCACTTTTCTGTCTTTGAAAAATGTCTTTTGTAATATCATTGTTACAGGATTTTGATAACAGTTAAAAATAACATTGTGTACTGTAAAAAGTAGACAATAAACCAATAAGTTGTAGCTCTTGTATAATTATCAATAATGAATATGAATTCTATAGATAATATGTTTCTATTACTACTTACTCGGCCTGGGCTGGGTCTTCAGTAAACATACACAGTAATATAAAAGCTCTTGTCAGTGATTAAAATCATGTTTTGACATGCTTTATGAGCTCTCTTTATATGGATTTCTGATAATATGCTTTCAAAATTATTGGCAGATCTACTCTTTGTCTGTACTTCAAGCTGGATAATGGAACATGATTTGTACAGTGTTATTGGATTTACAAGGGCTCGAGTGAGCCATGTTAATTATTGCTATGTCATTCTTGCAGGCTAGCGGGGACTGAAACAAAACATAAGCCAAACGAAATATAATTAGCATTAAAATGACTCAAGCATGGAATATAATAAAATGGGTCCTGAAGTGTCTTACTTTTGTCACAAAAAATATATATCGTGATTGTTTGCAAGCATTCATTTTAATTGCTTTCCCCCCATTTTCTGAAATATCTATCATATTTCTCAAATAACATTTTTGTTATTGACATTACAACCTACACTGTCATAAATAATTAATCTGCCTTTTAAAACTAGGTGATGCTAGCTATAAAATCTTACAGGATGAATAGTGGGTGCCCAGCTCCCTCAAAAAAATCATATTTCTTTCCAACTGTAGAATATTACAGTGAGTTTGCTGATCAGTTTGTTTACTTTAGAGCTTAATTTTTTTTCTTTTAAACTCTGTAAATTTGTGTTGAATTTAAAGAACAAATTTACCCCCAAAGAGATATTTTTATATGGGAATTCTATCCATTTCCTGCTCAGTAGACCTTGGATGATCAGTGGTAAATATGTACCACTGATCCATAACTGTGAGAAGAGAGTCTAAATATTTAGAGGCTAGGTAGAAAAAAAGTTCTAGAAAAAGAGAGAAGGCACACAGTTTTTTAAGTAAAACTGTAGGGAGGTGCCAGAGACAGAGAGGACTCCGGCAGAGAAGATAGTAACAGACATAGACCGGGGTTTTGCTTTGATGGACATGTAGTATCAACCAAAAAGTGAAATGAGGGAAAGCTCATCTGGAGTATCTTCTGGAATTCAGTTCTTCCCATTCTGTAGAGTATGACACTCTCTCAGTGAATTTCTGGAAGTGAGAGAAGAAATCTGACAGAGTCAGAGGGGTTCCTGCCATGACAGGCTGATTCCGGGAGTGTGGACCTGCTCTGGTTTGATCGGGGCGATGTTTTCAGCAAATGCAACATCTGTTTGGCTCTATCAGCTGTACATGTACTGAAATACTTCCATTGTGCTTGATTAAAATACGATGCTTGGGATGTGTCCCCATGATCCACCTGCTCAGCTTCATCCCTGGGCACTTCCAAATTCCTGAAATGAGGCAAATGAAGGGCGATGTCGGGGACAGCGGGGCTTTCCAGGACACCAGCATTGTGGCTGGTGTGGCTTCTGTCACATAGGTACCTGTGCCAAGCAGTTATCAAATACTCTGTCTGTTACCCTTGGGGAATATATATTACTTCTGGACTTTTGAAAGAAAAGGGGCTTCAACATTAACAAAAGGCTGGAATGGGCTCTGACATATAAGAATGAGACCAGAGATCTAAAGCAGAATTTTGTTTATTTTAGAGTTTGTTTGAAGTCCATTAAAGCAGATGTGGCAATATCATTAAATACAGTTAAATTGGAAGCATTTTTCTATTCCTGAACTTAGATTACAATTATACTAAGAAGAAAAAAACATTAATAATATTTTCTACTCTTGTGCTGTCAGAGCCATTTATAAATACAAGTGAATCTTTTCTTTAAAACAGATATATTGTATTTCCAGTCAGTTTTAAAATCAGTATTCCCCAACTCATCTCCTGTCACTTCCTGAATTACAAAGAAAAAATCCAGAGCTCTTCAAAAAAAATAGAATATATGGCTATATTTGAGCTTGACGACTCCACCATGACAAGAGTCCTTGGCACATGCTGCCTCCTCCTGGATTATCTGTCACCTTTATTGCACCAGTAACCCTTTCAGTCTTCCAAGTTCATATCAAGTGATATTGTCAATGCATATTCTCTGCATATGAGATGTTTCACCTTATGTAGGCATCTATAAACATACGCCAAATCACTTAAAGAACTTTTGAAATACATTTTATAGACTTTAAAAAAGAGGATAGAAATGTGTCTTCCATTGTAATATACTCATCACATTCCATGAAAAGAATGTTGCTCTTAAAATACTTTAAAAGAATATGATTATCTTAAGAATAAGACTGATCTACCTCTTTGTTCTAAACAGTGAGTTTTAAGTGATTTGGGAATGAAAAATCCTTTTTCTTCCTAGTTATTTCTTATTTATAGGAAATTGTCTTACCTTCTACATCTCTTTTTATACTTCTGGATGATGATGAATGAATAAATATGCAAGTTCTAATTATGTGACTTGAATAAAAATAAAACATATATTCAAGGGATCATAAAGAAGGTTGTTAGAGTGGATCTGGGTTTTTATTAAAAACTTGAAAATGATTAATATGTTCACAGTGCTTTGCTGGATATTATTATTTGGCACATTATATCATTACCTCTATTAAAATAATATTTATTCCTCAACTCATTTTCTACGTAAATTGATTTTGGTATTGACAATTCTCTATATCAGTCTGTTATTATTTTTGTGATACTTTCTTCTTACTGACCCACCTTTTTACTGAGATATCACAATGTCAGGGATTTTTTTTGCTACTCAAAGAAGACTTTAAAAAACATGTATATAATTTGACACCAATAAAAACTTCCAGGTAAACTTTCCCTAGACAAGAATACAAAGAACAGAAAGCCAGCAGCTCATTTGTTGTTTCCTTTTCAGGTAAACCGGTGATGATAGTGACAGAGTATATGGAAAATGGCTCTTTAGATACATTTTTAAAGGTAAGACTTTAGATAAATTTAAATATTTTAAAGTGCTATTTATATATTGGTAATGATGTTGAAGTTGAAATTAAGCCACTTTAAAGCTAAATTTTAAAATAGAAATTTGACCTGGAGTCACAATCATTATACTCCAAAAAATTAACTTTGGTTTGAAAATTTTTATTTTCAGAAAACTTATACACATTCAAATTATGTGTGTCCACAGTTTTATTTAAGTTTATGCTGATTTGCCTGAAAAAAATAAAGAGGAAAGAAGAAAGAAAAGAAAGGAAGGAAAATAGAAAAGAAACTTGTATAGATATTAAACTTTCTTAAAGTATATATTATCAGCCCTGGCCGGTTTGGCTCAGCGGTTACAGCGTTGGCCTGCGGTCCTGAGAGACCCGGGTTCGGTTCCCGCTAAGGGCACGTACCTCGGTTGCAGTTTGTCCCCGGCCCTGGTTGGGTTGTGTGGGTGGCAGCCACTCGACGTGTCCCTTTCACGTGGATGTTTCTCTCTCTCTCTCTCCCTCCCACACTCTATCTGAACAAAAAATAAAAAAAAATAAAAAATAAAGTATATATTATCAGGCAGAGCAGATAAAAAAAAAAGTCTAAAAGGTCTGTGCGAATTATCTACAGTAAGGGGTTAAATAGTAATAGGCTTCCAGCCGATCTGAGGCCAGCCCAGGCTTGTGCCAGTGGCGTCACAGAATATAATAGACAATACTAATCCTATGTTGTCCTATCTGTGGGTCTCAGAAATAAGGATTTTTTTTTTAATGTGTAAGTCTCCAAATTGTAAATGATGACAACTCATTTAATTAATAAATAGTTTGCGCTAGACAATGCAACACATTTGCCAACCTGAGTAAATCTGTATGCTGGCAGCTTTTCATCTTCTATGACGATCATTGCCATGGGTCAGGACAGTGATGGGAATGGCATCAGTGGCATCCATAAGATGTGCCCAGGCAGTGAACGTCAGTGGTCTGCTGGCAAGGCAACCCCCCTTCCACTCTCCAGCCTCTGCCGGATTCTGTTGCCAAATTTCTTATACATAATGTCTCCTATCTCATAAAGCCACATCTCCCTCCCTCCCCCCTCCCCCTCCCCCCTCCCCCCTCCCTCCCTCCCTCCCTCCCTCCCTTCTTTCTTCTTTCTTTCTTTCTTTCTTTCTTTCTTTCTTTCTTTCTTTCTTTCTTTTTTTACAAAATAATCATCAGGTGAGCCTTTTTCTGTGTGTGCGCACAGTGAGTTCACACTGGACAAAGACAGCAAGCTTCCAAGAAATGCTAACATTGTCCTGGTCATTGCGTAGCCATTCCCTTCCCTTCTGCTGCTGAGGAAGCTCCCTTTATCTCCTCCAGCCATTTCTTCTGTACAACAATATGTCCTTCTCTCCAGCTTCCTCGGAAGCACCTCAGAACTAGGCCGTGTTAACCCTGGGCCAGCACACACTCCTCTGATCACTGAGAATGCAGGAGTCACAGTGCAGACAAGGGCAGTTAAACGAGGTTTTCTGTAAGGGCTTCCCAAGCCTTTCTCTGCTTTGATCAAGCAAAGAACTGATAAACATTACCAAATTTCCCAACCTCTTCTGTTCTCCTTCAGATAAAATTTGTATACAAATTTGGTGATAGCATTAATTTGGGATTGAAGGAAGACCCTTTCGCATTTTCCCCCAATGACTGGTGTTGCTGGACTAATATTTCTACATCGTGTTTACAGAAGAACGATGGGCAGTTCACCGTGATCCAGCTCGTTGGCATGCTGAGAGGCATCGCTGCGGGAATGAAGTACCTGTCCGACATGGGCTACGTGCATCGGGACCTTGCTGCTAGGAACATCTTAATCAACAGTAACCTTGTGTGCAAAGTGTCTGACTTCGGGCTTTCCAGGGTCCTGGAAGATGATCCTGAGGCAGCCTATACCACAAGGGTAAGATCTAACAGAATGCATTTCTGAAACACTACACGAGATATTTAATTTTTAAAGATTTTAAAGGAAATAGCAAAAGAACATTTCTCCAACATAGGATGAGAGAGAGAGAAAGGGAGGGGGTGAGGGGATAAAAATATCCAGCTGATGCTCCTTGATAGATATCAGAAAATTCAAATATTAAACTCAGATAAAAAAATGTTCACTTTATGAGTCTCAATAATTTTTTATTTTCTACAGATACTGAAAAAAAAAGTTCAAATTTAGAGTGGATACAACAGTGTAAAAATTATATAAAGTTTTAAATGTAAAAAAAAAATTAAAGAATGTCCTACATTAAAAATAATAAATACGTTATATATATATATACACAATATATATATGAATATATACCTTTGTAGCATTGTTGTGTAGCTTAAACTCTTTACACTATAGTATTTTCTCTTGTAAAACAAATATAGAAATATCTAAGAACGTACATGGAATGGAAAAGCTATTCATTCCAAACCCTTTTATTTAATGAAGATATATCTAATTTATTTTCTTATATATTATATAAATTGTTATGCCCATCTCTTTGGAAAATTGGTCACTAACTCATATTACAATTAGCATAAATCAACATCCTTTTCCAAGAATGTGATTGGTTCCTAAATTGATATGTTATATAATTGATCATTCTTTTTGTGGAATACTGTGAGTATTGATACAGTGAAATTTGGGAGGTAATCTGTGTTGTACTTCTTCAGTTTGAATCGTTTATGATAAACTACATTTGTTTAATTCTAAATCTTTGCAATGCCATCAAGTTCAAGGTTTCAACTTCATGTGAAGACAGAAATTTATCGGTGCATCTTTTTCACTCTACAATTTGGTTAACCATAGCATCCATACAAAGGAACATTTTGTCATCTCTTTATGATAGATGTGTTACATATCTTCTTATTTAACTCAGCTTTTTAAAATTACTTCTACTCCTAGTTTAACAATACATCTATTCATAGATTATAAGGCTTTCTTTTTCATTGTTTTATGACACAGATTCTTGAGATGCTATTATGCTGAAGATTGAGATCAAGTGATATAAGCAAAGTCTTTTAAGGGTCAGCTTAAGAAATCAATCCACTACTTGATGGGATATCAATTCCTCTTCTTCTAGACTTAAATATCTTTGTTATTGTTTGCATTCAATTAAATCTCATTTAAGAATTCTGCTGCAAGTAGAATAAACTTGGCCTAAACAAGACTGAGGCTATAGGAAAATATAACCTCATAGAGTAGCTTGTTGACGTGTGCCTCAGTGTGCCGTGCTGGGAAAGAGGGGGGCAAGGGAAAGCCGAGGTGCTGAGACCTTCAGGAATTATTTCTATGAAATGGGCCATCGTGGCAGTTTGTGGAAAATGGGTGCACTGAGAGATAAGAAGATCAGGGAACTTCAGATCACACTGATGACAAATATGGTCAGAGGATCAGGAGAAAAAGTCTAGGTTGAAGTTTAAAGTAATTCACAACGATAATTATAAAAGGTATAATAATGTATTCTAGAATATCACAAAACAAATGGCCAGACCTAATTGTGTGACCTTTCCTATGAATATTTAATTAACAAGAGTATGCTTTGGAAAAGTCTTCTTAAAGTGGTGTTAGCATATTTCCAAGGAGCAAATAATTCAAGCCTAGCTTGAAAATTCAAATTAATTTCTATGCAGATAGCAGTTTCAAGCACTGCACAGCATTGTTATTTTCTCATATATCTTGAAACTTTGGTTCATAAAGAGCAGTTTAAGTCACTTTTTTCTAGTATGTGAAATAAATTGTTCTGTTCCTGTAAAATAGGAAGGCATATGTTAGTCTTTTTATAAGAAAATATTCAAAACCTTCATCTCTTTCTCTCTCTGTACCTCCTTAATTTTTTTTTCTTATAAATGAACTGTTTGGTTGTTTAGGTTGCTGCCTTTGAAAATTAAGAGGAAAAATGTTCACTCTGAAATGAGCAGGTTCTATGTTTATTTTGTGAACTAAGAGAAAACTTACCAAAGCAATTTTTTTACCATGCTAAAAAATTCTAACTTGATCATGTTGGAAGGTTTACCCATAATCTAGTTTTCATAATTTTAAAATGGTTGTACTAGATGAGAACTCAACTTCTTAGATTAAAAAAGAAAAAAGCCTATCCGGAAAAACCTAAAAATATGCTAACAGAAAAGAAGAAAAATCAAACTGCATGGTGTCAGGGGAAAGTATAGCTGAGTGTTTATTTACTTAGTTATTTTTTTGGTACGTGTCCCTAGCAGGAACTGAACCCGGGACTCTCTGGTCCGCAGGCCAACACTCCAACCACTGAGCCAAACCGGCCAGGCCTGAGTGTTTAATGTATCTAATTTTCATGCTTGTCTTATTAACTGTTAAACTTAGAATTGCATTCAGCAACTGAGACGCTCCACTTACAGTTCTCATGTTAAAGAAAAACAAACCAAAAAACATCTGGGAATCTGAGTCCTTTACTCTGGTTGAAAGTCATGAAAGTATACCTTATTGATTTTCTTGACTGCTTGCTTCCCACACTTAGAACTGCCGTTCCAATACTGTAATTGAGATGTGGGCCCTGTACGTGTTGCAGTAGTCAAACAGAATTTAAACCAGAAGCCTTCCAGACAGCCACTTAATAGTCAGTGTACATGTGCCTATGGACTGATATGTGGAAAGAGACTGCATGATGGCAAACAGATGCACTTAAAAATGCTACATCTCTTTCTAGATCTTTTTAGTGAGGCAGCTGTATCCCTAGATACATTTGAAGTGTGTGAGAATTTTTTAAATTCTTTTTCAATTTCAGGGAGGCAAAATTCCTATCAGATGGACTGCCCCAGAAGCTATAGCTTTCCGAAAGTTTACCTCCGCTAGCGATGTTTGGAGCTATGGAATCGTGATGTGGGAGGTGGTGTCTTATGGAGAGAGACCCTACTGGGAGATGACCAACCAAGATGTAAGTATGGAGCTCTGCCCCTCAAGTATGGGGTGAAATGGTTTGCTTTCTGTGCCAGGAGACTTACATTGTTTTTCATTTCTGAACATGATAGTTGCTTTAAAAAAAAATGAAATACTTTGCTTACCCTCTGATCTGTTTTGTCATTAAAATACCCTTTATGCAGAAGCTCAAAATGACTTAGCACCGAGGAAAGTAAGTTACTGTTATTTAAGAACTCAGTCCCCTGCAGACAGTCCTACCTCTGTTGTGATGATGTTCCACTCATTTTATGTCAGTATCATTTTCAAAGGTAAAGAAAGAACCATCAAAGAATGAGGGCTGACAGGCAAGTTTTTATGATTTGCATTTGATAGAGGCAGCTGGTACTCCAGGGTAACAGGACGGATGATATTGACTTCATAGAAGATGCTCTGAGAGGATAAAGCAGAACAATGTATGCTTTTTTTTTTAATTAAAAAAAAGAAAAAGTAGGAATAGTTGTATTGTCTACTTAGGGGGAATAAACAGATTTTTCCCCACATGGAAGAAAGAATTTGTGCATAGAATAATAGAATCCTAGAGTTAAAGAAACCATGGAAGAATCTTCTATTCAAGTTAAGAATGCTTATTACGTGACACCTAACACATGGCATTTGGGTCTTTGCTTTGGTCATTTTCCATTGTTAACTATTTCATACAGCCCTTTCCATTTGGGATCACATGGAAATTTGATATATTTTCTGCCAAATAACAATTATAAAAGCAGCTAACATTTATTGAGCCCTTACTATGTGTCATACACTGCCTTAAGTGTTTTACCAACTAATATTACTTCTTTTTAAAACCAGTATATTGAAGTCTTGCATTAACAGCATGCTTTAAAACATTTTCCCCCCTCTAATTATTTCTTTCATCCATACACTGTAAAATCTCCTGCTTTTATGCCTTCGGGGGTTATTAGACAGGTACTATATCTTTCTAACCTCATTGTGTTGAAACAACAGTCCCGTGCCAGTAATTAGTCTCACTTTTAGATATAAAAATTCGAGTCCAGTCTAAAGGAAAGTCAATACCATATCCATTTCAAAGTGTTCTCCACAACCACAGGGCCGGCCTCGCCCTCAGTACCTAGATTGGGAAGGAAGAATGGTCAGATTTTGCTCTTCCTCATCCTCTGCCAAAGTTTGAGCCTGGAGTTTTCAGGATCTTCTTGGAGGGAGAGGTAGAAAGGAAGGGGCAAGAATGTTTTTGTCATATTGAGCTATTGATCTCTCTTGCCTGGCAGTAAGCCAAACATTGTTCTCTAGTGAGGTTCGTGTCTGAGCTCTTCCAAAGGCCCCCGATGAGGTCCTCTTGTCTGCAAGTAGTGAGAAGGGTCTACTGCCCTGACTTCTCCCAGTTCCTCTCTCTTGCACCTGCTCCCCACTCCACAGTTTCTCACTGCACCGTACATGTGTCTGCTAAACCTGATGGAAGCACATGATTGGCAGATGCTCTACCAGTGCAGCGTTTGGGATACTACTGCAGGCTTTCCCATCCACCTGGCTTCTTCTAGTTTCCCCAGGTGAGAAGCTAGGTCCACACTTCAGCTTTCCCAAGGATTACAGTTAACCTTCGAAAAATGCCGTCTTAAGGGGGCAAAACCCCACACAGTCTAAAATCCAAGGAAAACTTTTGACTCCCCCAAAACCGAATTACTCATGGTCTGCTGTTGACTGGAAGTCTTACCAATAATATAAACAGTCAATTAACACTATTTTATATGTTATGTGTATTATATTCTATAATCTTACAATAAAGAAAGCTACAAAAAAGAAAATATTATTTAAAAAATCATAAGGAAGAGAATAGACATTTACAGTACTTACTGAAAAAATTCACATGTACATGGACTCATGAAAATCAAACCGGTGTCATTCAAGGGTCAACTGTATTTCCTAGTATTCTTCTCTGGTAGCAACAGTAAACTGCACTGAGGGACTCCTGCTTCTGGACTAGTACACAGCAAGACTTCAGAATTGCTACAGTTGGTTTTCTTGGGGCTACACTCACTTGATTTAAGTAGCAGCTGCTGACTTCTGTGTCTCTAAATTTGGGAGACCATAGTATCTATTGTCCTCAACTTTATGATTTTAGAGGCAGGACTATGATAAGAGTATCATTGAAATCTTGGCATATATTTAACAAACCATCAGAAATATATTATTAGTCCTGTTTTGCAGTTAAGAAACTAAGACTTAGAGAGATTAAATGACTTCTTAAGGTCACAAAAATAATAAATGTTGTACCATACATTTCAACCTGGTTCTCCAATTTTTTTGGACCGAACCAGCACCCTATCTCCAATTAAATCAATATCTACTTCCTTTCTTTTATTTCCAACCAGTGATCCTAGATCACCATTCTAATTGAATATAAGATATTCAGTTCAATATTTAATAATTATTCTGGATGGATCTAGTCTTAAACAAAGGTTAGACATATTTGCTATTTTCTGTTCTCCAGATAAATGCCAAGCTGACTTGAGCTACAGAGCAATTTATGGCCTGGCTCCTATCTTCTTTCAAGGCTCATTTTAAAGCCATTGTTTTTGTTTACATGTTGTGAAAGCATTTTATTCTGTTTTTCCAGCAAGCCTGGTCCTTTCACCTGAGGAAAACATTAGTCCCCTATCTGTCCAACTTCATGAAATTCTCACAATTGAGGTATTCTGAATTTCGAATCTGTCTCAGACTTATTGTACTGCCCTACTATGAGTATATGTGTAGCATTGTCATCCACATTATTGGCAACTACTCCTAAGAGAGTAGTATTTGTCTCATAAAATTATAGACCAAAGTAGAGCATGATGCTAGGGGAATGTTCATGTTTGTTCCTGCTAACCTTGACTGGGCTTGCTCAAGGTCCTTGGGCTTGGCTGGTCTGTACTTGCATACTACATGGTCTTCTTCTTCCAGAGAGCAGCAGGCCAGACTAGATGTGAGTTCATTTGCCAAATGATGGAAAGGCAAGACTGAGCCCATTTGCTCCTCAGGCTGGGAGACATCTGCTAAAATCCCATTGGCCAATCCCATAATCAGATGATTGGTCCATTGCACTGCTCCTTGTGAGGGAACAGTATAAAGTTACATGGAGAAGGACATAAAGACAAGGAGGTGTGAAGGACATGGGACATATTTTACCCATGATTTCAGCCATGTGAAAGTCTTTAAACTTTTCCAGATAACTTAGATACAAAGAAATGCTGATGTAATATTTCAGGAAGTTATAAAAATAAAAACTAGTATTTTGGCTTTGGCTGGGTTTTCTGAAAATCTAAATGAGATTTAAAGAAAATGTTATACAGTTACAGATCGTTCAGAAATGTCTACCCTTAACAGAGTTGCCCAATACAGGTGTTGTATTTTCCCAGCAAGTCCACAATTACTGGTGTCATTCACTTTTGAGATATAACACTAACTTTGATATGCCTCAGTTTCCATCTAAAATTTTATCCAAGATACAAGACAAAATCTACTATATTTGAAAATCATGATACTTAACATCTCTTTGGAGAAAAATTATTAGAAAACAGAGTATAAGTACACATTTGCAGTTTTGAATGATATATTCCATAATCTCTATATTCCACATACTATCTAATTCAAGAAGCGCTTTGCCGCTAAGAAAACGTTACATTACCAAGAAATGCAGAATCATTTAAGTCCCTCAAAGAAGACCTTTTGCTATGTCGGGGAAAGAATGCCGCAGTGGATTTCCTTTGATTTAGGATTGCCTCTGTCATCACAGGGACATCATAACAATGCATAATAAAAATAAACCAGTATGACTAGGATGATTTAGGTAAATACCAGACCATGAGCTCTGGTTTAAGCTTTGGAAGCTAAGATAATATTCTATAGTCAGTAGAAGCTTTTTTATTGATAATAAACATTTTATATGTCAACATTTTTCAGAACTTCAAGAATAGAAAGAGATTTCAGCCCAGCCAGTGTGGCTCAGTGGTTGAGCATTGACCCATCCACCAAGAGGTCACTGGTTCAATTCCCAGTCAAGGCACATGCCCAAGTTGAACCAAATCTCCAGTGGGGGGCATGCAGGAGGCGGTCAATAGATGTTCTCTCTCATCAATGAAAAAATTAGAAAAAAAAAAAATAGTAGAAAGAGATTTCACTGCATTGCCTTTTTATATTTAGCAACAATGTTTTTCTCTTATATTTATTATGAAATATATGAACATATAGATTATACTAAGCACATAGACTACAAAATGTTTTAATAACTCATTTAAATAATCTGTTTTTCAGTCTTTTCATGTTAGAATTACTTTTGCCTTTCTGGGAGAGGGGCAGTTTTCTATTACTATTTCTGTTGAACTTGATCTTCCCTATAAGGCAGCAAAAATATTTGACCAGAAAAAGATGTCAACCCACTTTGTACTGGGTGTGCCTCTCTTCTTCCTATTCCTTGTTTCAATTTTCCTTGGTACAGAATAGATAGATATAAATATATAAATATATATATATATTATCCTTATATTATTAGAATAGTTTATGGAAAAGCAAAGAGAATATGTTATGGTAACACACAAAATGTTGTAATTAACTAAAGTTTGAGACTTTAGTTCTCATCCAAATACTGCAAATTACCAAGATTTGACAGTGAGAAAATTATTAAACTTCTTAGCCTCAGTGTAGTAATGTCTGAGTAATAATTAGTGTGTTGGACCAACAAAAGTTGGTCTTCTACGATAACATTGGTCCTCTAGGTATAATGTTGCCCTTGGATACAAGTAATTATTTTAGGGACTGGTAACCTCATGGAAAGTCTTACCCCTTTGGAAAAAGTGATACATAAAGAAATATCAGTACTTAAGTCCAAAACTCCTATACCTTGTTGTTTAAAAGCAATAACAAAAAATTTAAAAACAAATGTATTGAACTGAATGTCATTCATCTTGGATTCTATACCTCTTGGTCAGTTTTAATTATTATAAAAGGAATGGACTTGAATATAGA